CCGGTCTTGTCGGGTTATTTATTACTTCGATACTCCTGCACTTAGAAGAAGACATCAATCTTTTATTCGTGTCAGCATGTCTTTCGTCGGTAATCCCACATTCTATCAGTAAGTCTATTGATAAAAAAAAAATTATCGATTATTTTACAGATGAAAAATGCACGCCAAAAAAAAAATCTCACTGGAAATATACCGACAGATATATTTCATTGGTGATTGTAGTATTTTCAATAAATATTTTTCAGCTCTCAGTAAAATATCGATGGACATTATCTGTTCGTGAAGGCGTTGGTGATTGTAGTATATTTAGTGAATATTTTTCAACTTTCTGTAAAACGTTGACAATAATGTTCCATTTGTAAATCCATCGGTGAGGTTTTTTATAAAGAAAAATATTTAGAATAAATAATATAAATTAATAGTAAAAAAAATTATGCAAATAAAATTTTATTAAACATCAAAAATTAAAAAAATTAAATTAAATAATATTCATTACAAATTGAATATGTTTCCATAAAAATATTAAATTAGAACAATGACAGAATTGAAGGAGAGGAGGAGGCTAGTTGTTTCCTAGATCATGTGGCCAAAAATTTAAAGTTTTTTAAGTCATGCTAGTTAATTTTTTCAACCATGATTATAAGTTTGTCAAAATCAAACTAGTTGGTTCAACCTGATAAACCATAAATTAAGTGTTAGATTGACTTGTTTAATAGAGATGCGTTGATTGACAATAAAGAACCGGTATTTGCTATATGAAAAATTAATTTACAAAATGAAAATTCTAAAAACATCAACTTTTATCAAAGTTTGGTTGAAAAAAATAATCTTAATGTAGTTATTAATAAAAAAAATATTCAGGTTCCAGAAGGAAAAGACTGACCTATTCGGTGACTTTGGCGGTCGCCCTCACTGAACCGACTTGAATCTGAACTATGATTAAGATAGTCTACCCAAAATCGAATTTCCTTTTCGTGCCATATGCCCTTGTAATGCTGTCTTTTTTCCATCACTCTTCTCGGTCCAATGTGTAAAGCAAACTCTCCATGTTGACCAAAAGACAAACTTCTCTCTCTCTCTCTCTCTCTCTCTATCTATCTACGTTCTGTAATTAAATAGAACCACTAACAAGTCGTCAAGATTTGTAATTTTTTTAAGCGGTGAATTTACATAATATAAAAGGATTTGTAGCCTTATAACAAGTGTCATAGTCTGCTAGATCAATTTTTTTCTTACATAAAAAAATACTGGAATAATAATAGTGTTTTTAAAGAAATAAAAAAAATTTAAAACTTAAATTATTAAATTGATTAAATCTTACAAGCTAGATTTATTTAATAATATGATAAAAATAAACAACGATAATAAATAAATAAAAAAGATAATGATTAATTAAAAAATAAGTCATCAATATCATATTCAAAAGAAAAAGAAAAAAACTCGTTGAAAATTTATTATTATTCCACTGTAGACATTGTTCCACCATTCTAAAGAGCTAACCGAGACGTTTCTAGAACAACCATAAAAGGTTGTATGATGATATCAAAAAAGATTGCACGCACCACCAAAACAATGATATAGAAAGCAAAATAAAAACCATGATTTAATCATCCTATGCTCATGTTTAATTAATTACTATAATCTAATTTATTTTTAAAAAAACTAAATTTTACAAAGAATAAAGATAAAAAGATACAATAAAATTTGTTATTTTTAAAATTAGTAAAAAATTCTATAGAAAGCAAGTAAAAAAATAATAGAGCTCAATCTCCAATTAAATAAATTTTTAAATGATGAAATTGAAAAAAAAAAGCATGAGCTTAAAAAAAAAAGAGAGAAATAAGAAAACATAGGTGAATCTTTTAAACCCAAGCTAGTTTCCAAACTTATAATTTATGAAATTCTAGACTTTGACTCAATCAAAAAGTTCAATTTCTAACTAATTTAATGTTAAATGATGAAATAAAAAAAATATCAATTAAAAAAATAAAAAATAAAAAAATAAGGATAAAAAACTTTACACGGGTATTGTTTCATCCAATCTACAATAAGCAATTGTAATGCTAAATACATAATTAAAAAAAAAATAGAAGAAAAGGAGCCATAAATTATCTTAGTAGAAAAGTTAAATATTCATTTTAAATTTATATATTCAAATAAAATTGTTTTCTGATTTGTAGGAGTTTCCGTGTTTTTCTAGTTTTACATCAGTTTGGCTGCCTAGAAAATGAAGCAAAATAACTGTAAAGGAGTGGAAATGGCTGCGAATGGACTCTCGAAGGTTTACTTTCTTGGTATTAGTGTTTTTTTTTTTTAATGAGATTAGACAGAGAACTATTTAATTACATGATAATGACTTTATAGATTAGCTGTTTGATGATGAAAATAATATTTTTAATGTTTTAAAAAATATTTTTAATATTAACATTTGAAAGTACATAAAAATACTAAAAAAATATTTTTTTTAATCTAAATTATTTCATCATGTAACGTCATTGATGTTGGTGTTAATACTTTGTTAACAACTGTAAAAGGCTAAAATAAAAGAGTATTGTGATAAGGAAGTTAAACTGTACTAAGCTTATTAACATTCCTAACTATATATATATATATAAACTATTCTAATACTCTCTTCATTTGCGTGTAATTTTCTCTAACCAAGAATTTAGAATTGAACGATTTGCTCTAATCTTAGGTTTGATTGACACTAAAAACTTGTATAATTATTAATTTTAGAGCTTGTAAAATTAGTTGTTATACATGCAAACTGACTGAACATATATATTAATTTAAAAAAAGAAAAATTATAAAAAATATATATAAATACATTATTATTATTATTATTATTAAGAAGATGCTCTTAAACAACCAAACGTAGCTCTTCGCATCCTCTTTTGAGAGTAACCACACCCAAATAACAGATGTAGCCATAGGCATGCATGTCCCCCACATTGGTAACGGGTTGGACTCGTAGATTTTAGCTTTGCACAAGCAAAGTTCACAGATTCGTTGCGTATCCTCTTATCTTTAACTAATAAAAATATTTTTGTAATACATCAAAACATAGCGTCTTTTGAAAGTAAACCACGCTCAAATGACGAAGGGAGCAAATTAAAGGCATGCCATTCGCATTTTTCAAAATGCTTCTTTTCTTTTGCATAGAACATGAGGAATAGTTGAAGTGGCATATGGAATAAATAATTTTGTTGGTGATTCACCATAGTATTCGAAGTAATTTTATTTAAATTCTTCATAAAATACTAACAAAATAATTTTATCGGTTATGTAATAGTTAAAATATCATATATACAATGACATGTGAGTAAATCTTTTTCAACAGTATGGAACATACTAAAATTCATATGGAACATTAATTTGTACGAACTTAGATGCAGAATATTATATATATGTTATTGTTTGAATAACCGCCAGCTGACGTAGACTTGTTTGCCCTCCCGCGGGATCAATGCTTAATTAAATGAGGCGGCGTAGTTTTTTTTTTTTAATTCTTATTCCTTTATTTCTATTTATTTTGTTTTTAGTTATTTTCTAGTTAAATTTTATTTTTAATTTTATTTATAATCATTTAATTTTATTTTTATTTTGTTTTGAATTTAATAATTACAATTTCTTTTATTTTAAATACTCTTATTAATTTAATTGTTTATTGCAACATCAGGCCTCGGAGTTTATGTATTCTTCAAGCGCCAAAACTGCCTCGAGGAGGTCGACCCCGGGGAGGGTCAGGTGATCAATATTGTTGAAATGGGAGAAAGGAGTGTCCATGCTGAGAAATAAGTAGGTACCATGCCATGTAATAAGAAGTTGAAGCTAATTAAGATTCATACAAACGAGAAAATTTATGTGAAAATATTCTTATCAATTTTTAATGGATTTTATTTTTAATTTTTTTCATCACCCATCTCTCTTTACAAAATGAATTCATAAAAGTAATTAATAAGATATTATTGGTAATACAATAACATCATAATAAAATAAAAAACAAAAAAAAAAAAGATTGTTATTGAATTTTTTTATCAAAATAATATCATTTTTACTTTTTAGTAGTATAAAATAAATCAAATAATTAACTAGGAAAAAATCATGTCAACACCCATTAATTTTTTTTGTCATTATTTGTTTTTATCAAAATAATTTTATTTTTACTTTTATCATAATTAAAAAAAATTCAACTAATTCTAGTAACCCTGATTATGTGACTCAACCTGTGACTCGAGATATAATAGGAGTTGACTCTTAGGCTGGTGTTGCTAAAAATAAATAATTAATAAGAGTTTTCAAAATAAAAGAAAAATTATAATTATAAAATTAAGAATAAGGATTAAATGCAAAAAATCAAATAAAATTAAAATTAAATAACTAGAGATTAAATCAAAAAAATAAAATTTAATTAGACAACAATTAAAAACAAAATAAATTGAAATTAAAAGAATAAAAATTAAATTTGATAAAAAATTAAAAGTCAAATGTTAAATAATAAAATTAAAAATAAATAAATTATATTTAATATAATTAAGAGATTAATAACTATTTTGCAACTTTGCGAATCCAACATGGCATTTGAGTTGAAGAAAAAAGAAGAAAAGATACGGATAAAAAAAAATTGTCTCCTTGCTCTCCTCACCGATCCCCACGGTGTGTTGTATCGGTGAGTGTTTGGGCATGACCACTGTGGCCCTTAAAAAAACAATTGCCTCCTTGCACTGCTCACGGATGTCGACGGGTTGTTGTATCGGTGAGGGTTTGGGCATGACCACTTGTGGCCCCCACCGAAGAATTGTAGAACGTGGCACTGACCACTTTTGGGCATGACCACTGATGGGAGCGACCCTGATCGTCAACAGTGTAGGGAAGTTCCTAGTCAATTTCTTTCTATAAGAGGAAGCGGGCTTCCTCCTTGCTATGCATCCATCTCCTTGTTCACAAAATTAAGCATCTGCTCCTTGCTCTGCTAGCGTATCTCCTCCTGTGTTACTTCCTCAAATTTGGTAATGTTATCAATGCGATCTCATTCTTATCTCACTTGAGACATTACTGATTTTTTTTCTTCTAATTAATCATTCCTTTTTGTAGTTCTGAGTCATGGATGGTTACACCCTGCACCACCCTGCACAAGACTCGGCCACCGGAGGCTACTCCTCAGCTGCTAAAGGAGGGCTTGCTGGTGTCCTCGTCGTACTCCTTGCTATCGTCGTTTATGTATTCTTCAAGCGCCAAAACTGCCTCGAGGAGGTCGACCCCGGGAAGATTCAGGTGATCAATATTGTTGAAATGGGAGAAAGGAGCGGCCATGCTGGGAAATAAGTAGGTACCATACCATGTAATAAGAAGTTGAAGCTAATTAAGATTCATACAAATGAGATTTTCCTAATCTTCTAATATTGTTTTTGTATTAATCGCAGGAATCCATGAAGTACCCGGATGCCTCGACTGTTCCTTTTTAGTTATACCTACTGTATTGTTGGAATCAGACCATTTTAATCTGTACTTTGTATATAAATAAATGATTGGGTGAATTTTGTGGTGGATTTAAAGTAATATCTCAATTAAAATCTTTTTTCTTTATTTTTTATATTTGTTTTTTTAAATGGGATATTCGAACCAGCTTGCGTTACTGTGTTGCTGCCACTTTATTTTTTTAGGGCTAGGGGGCTTTAACTACGAGTAATTTTCTTATTTGCTGGGGCTTGCTTTAGGAGCTTTCTTTTTATAGTCTCTATTTAACGAAAAGAAGGGCGTCCATAAAACAAACAACTCACCGCAGCAGCCACAGCCAAAGTCTTTGTTAAATTGATCGCAGATCCCACTCCATGTCAAACCGGTGGTGTTTCGGTGCATTGAGCGTCGGATCGGTGCCAACTACATCTCCTCTGCGCGTTCATGAGGGCGGTTTTTCTCGCCGCCATCCAACGAGGGAGCCTTCGGTTGCAGTCGCTGCTTGTTCTTTTTTTCGCTCAACTTCCGCCGCTGGTGGAGTTACTAGCGGCGTGGACCTGGACAGTTGCGTTGGCTGTCGTGATAGCTTGATTCTGTCGGAGTTTTCGCTTTTCGAGTTCTTTTTG